GGGGCCGCCGGGCGGGCGCTCCGGGGCCGGGTTCGCGCGGGCTGCGGGAGGGGCTGGAGGGGCGGGAGGGGCGGGAGGGGGCGGCCGGGGCCGGGCCTGGAGGCTGCGCCGGGGGCGGGCGGTGTGGCGGGGGCTCCGGCGCGGACCTGGAAGCGCCCTGGCTTCCGCGCTGTGTCCTTTCTCCCAATTACGCAAACAAAGCGGGTCATTATGGACTATTAGACGACGCGGGGGAGTGCCCGGAAAGGAAGAGTAACCGCAGTCCGCGGAGTTCGCTGCGGGTGCTCCGGGAGCTGTGAAATGTGCGGATTGTGCGGACTCCTAGACACGCACGCACGGACGCAGCACTCCTCTGTTTGTCCAAGTGCGGCGTCACTCAGTGGCGTTAAGTGCATCCACGCTCTTGCTCCTGGAGAGCCCCACCCCCTTGAGCCGGCGGAATGCACGTGTGCACGTGGTGGTCACACTCGGTGCCAGCGCTGTGGCACCGCTAAGACACGTTTCCGCGAGTATAATGAGAACGTGTTGTTTGCAGTTTAGTTTATTTTCCGTAGTGCACATTGCATGAAGCTCTCAAGGCTCAACAAGTGACGTTTGTGCAGAAAAATGGCAAAGTCTTGTCTCCTTTCAAAATGAAAGCGAAATATATAAAAGAGTCTTTATTTTCGGGGATATATTCTTAAGAGATTTTATTTTAATAAAAGGGAGTTTTTAAACAGACGGTGCAGCTCTAACCCGAAACCACTGTACTGTATCCGACTGGCACAGGCCTCAGAAGTCAGGGAATGGTCTCCTTCTGGGTAAAAGTGGTGGCCAGGAGAGAACACCATCCTGTTTGAAACTAGTTCAAGAATGAAAACTCGGTACGTCATTTGCAGGGAAATGACAGCGAGTGGCTTTAGTGGTAATTTGCTGAAGGAACTCGCATCTGCTTACACGGGTGTGCGTGTATGTGTGTGTTTTGAGGGCCTGATGAAGGAGGGGGGGGTTCTTACATGTCAATGTTAACGCTGGAGAAAGGCAGACAGACGTTGGTTAAAAACCGTAATCCTTCCTGTAGGTCGAAATGATGGGAATGTTTTGAAGGCAAACCTCAATTTGTACCTAGAAAGGAAACCGACAACAGCATCAAAAATAGTAGCTATGCCACTTTAAGTTTTCTGAGGTCCTCGTGTCCAAGAGGTCTTGGTGTTGAGGCCTTCCGTGATATTGGAGAGTTGCTTGGGGTAAATATGCATACTGTATAGTAACCATAACTTACTTTGTTTGGCAGTCTTCAGTATTCTTGTATCAGAAAAAAATCTGAAAGAGCTCCGTCAGGTGAATCATGATGTGCTCTACAAGGTTGAATTTTTGAGCTTAAACATTTCCCTCCCTGATCTCAAACCTCGTAGCCTCCTTCCTTGTTTTATTATACTGCGTCGTGCCGGGCACTAACATACTGTATATTTTCTTCACTTCGTTGTCTGTCTTCCTATAAGCTCTGCAAGGCAGGTTTTTGTTTGTTTGTTTGTCTCTATTCCCTACAGAGACCTTAGTGCTTGGGGCATAGTAGGTGCTCAGTAGATATTGTTAAGAGAGAAGAGTGACAGTGTTTAATAGCTTTGACTGCCAAGTTAATTTGTAACCTAAGATAAAAATAAATCAGAGAAAAAAGATAACACGCTTCCTCAATTCAAAAAGCTTTTTCTTCTTTTTTTTTTTTTAAGATTTTATTTATTTATTAATGAGAGAGAGAGAGAAAGAGAGAGAGTGTGTGAGAGAGCACAGCAGAGACACAGGCAGAGGGAGAGGCCGGCTCCATGCAAGGGAGCCTGACGTGGGACTCAATCCTGTGTCTCCAGGATCGGGCCCTGGGCTGAAAGCGGCGCTAAACCGCTGGGCCACCCGGGCTGCCTGCCGTCTTTTTGAATGATTGTAGACTTACAGGAGGTTGCAGAAACTGTACAGAGTTCCCTGATATTCTTTATTTACTTTGCCTAACGTTAACATCTTGCATAACCATAGTACCGTCGGCAAACTGAAGACATTTACAGCTGCTGACTTTACTTAGAGTTCATCAGTTTCTCACTAGTGACCTTTTTCTGTTCTGGGATCCAATCTAGAATCCCTCATTCCATTTAGTTGTCATGTCTCCTCGATCCCTTCAGTATGTGACAGTCTCTCCATCTTTTCGTGTGTTTTGTGACCTCGACACTTTGAAGTATGTCGTGCTGGTATTTTTAGAGTGACTCTTACTTTGGTTTTGTCAGATGTTTTCTTCTGCTTCCATTGAGGATGGTGTCCATATGTCTTGTTACTGTCGCTATTGTTTTTTTTTTTTTTTCTTTTTTTTGGTAGCTATTGGTTTTGACCTGCTGTTGTCTGCCATGTGTCACTACTATAAACCTACTGTCTCTCCCTTTGTAACTGGTGATTATTTCGGGGAAGATACTTTGAGACCTTGCATAGCAATATCCTGTTTTTCCTTAACTTTCACCCACTAATTAGCCCTCCTGGTGGATCTTATTAGTGTAATGGTCTAATGGTCTAATGGTGACTTTCTGTTATTCCCTCCTTTCTGTTAATTGGAATACTGTCAGAGGAAGAGTTGTGCCTTGTTTCCCTTTGTTTTATTTATTCGGTTAGTTATATCAGTGTGTGATGTTGGGTATGTGTTCTTTGGGCTATGATGCAGTGCTGATATTACTTACTTTATTGCTTAAAGTATTCCAGCTTTGGCCATGGGGAGCGCCTTGAGGTTGGCTTCTGTTTCCCCTTGCAGAGCCCACATCCTTTTTGGTGTCTTTCCCCGCCTTCCTGGCACCACAGAATACTCATGCTGTTTCTTCCCTTCCCCAGCCTGGAGACCACCACCACTTCTCCAAGGATCCCTAGTTCTATTTATTGGAGAATGGTACGGAGAAACCAAGTTTTGGGTGCTAGGTTTGAGCTCATTTCTTAAGCGATGTATTTAAGCGTAATGTAACATTTTAATTATGTACTGGAAGCAGTCTTTTTGTTTCCTTATCAGCGTATAAAATAAAGCGTATGTATCCTCACACTGATAGGAAAAACACAAGAATAAGAAAGTGCTTAATGAGGATTTTAAAAGAAAACAAATTCACATTGTGTATGAATTGAAGCAAAATGACAAGAAAGAAAGAAAAGAAAAGAAAAGAAAAGAAAAGAAAAGAAAAGAAAAGAAAAGAAAGAAGAAAAGAAAAGAAAAGAAATATTTCTGAAAAATGCCCTGGATAACTGCTTAGGTTTTTCCCTGTGCTTCACAAAGCCATTTTCAATTGTGGGGTTGAGACTGGGGTCAAAGTATGAAGCTGTGGGAGAAGAGGCCTGATCAGCTCAGGTTTCCTCCTGGGCCTGGGGTGAGTGAAGTTTTTCTTCTTTCTCAAAAACTAGTTGGGACATGGAGAAACCTTGAGGCATTGGGATACCTGAACTGGGCAGGTTCAGCTCACTGGTCCCCATGTCTTCCCTGTGCCCTGGCTCTTTCATCCGGATTCGGAAAGGCCCTGGGGGCAGGCATGTCTCTCCGTATTTGTGGTGCTTCCTTTGGTTGGAAACCTGAAATCCTTTGCCAGATTCCTGGCTTTTGCCCTCATTTTCCTGTCTGTCAGTCTTCTCATCACCTCTGTCCAGATGCTTCACTGACCTCTTCAGACATTTCCGTAACAGCTGCTTCAGAACAGGTCTGCTTGGAGGCTTGTTTCTGGTGCTAATTGCACTGTGGGTCTCCATTTCCTGAGATAGGTCTTGTCATTTATATTTCCTGCTTGGTGCATTTCTTCAGAATATTTGTCTCTGGCCTCAAGTGCATTCTCTTTAGCCTCACTGCCTGATTTCTGGTTACCCTGAGCAGCTTTCTTGTTCTTCCACACTTCAGTTTCTTGCTCTTCTCCAGTCTGTTCTACAGGCTCTGTCCCTCCTTCTGACTTCTAGCTTCCTTCTGAGCTGTTGTTTCTGCTGTCCATTTGTGCTGCTGGGGCTTACACGGTTGGAACCTGCCCCTTTTTTTTTTTTTTAAGATTTTATTTATTTATTCATTCATTCATTCGAGACACACAGAGAGAGAGAGAGAGAGGCAGAGACACAGGCAGAGGGAGAAGCAGCCTCCATGCAGGAAGCCCGACATGGGACTCGATCCGGGGTCTCCACGATCATGCCCTAGACTGACTGAAGGCAGCGCTAAACCGCTGAGCCACCTGGGCTGCCCCTGAGCCTCTTCCGCTTGATCCTGAGGCACCCTTTCCTTTCAGCCATCTTTTATTGTTGCTGATCTTCAAGTCTGTCTGTGGGCCTTGGGCCACCTACTTTATCAGTCCATCCTTTTCCTTTGTTTTGTTTTCTCAAATACTACTTCTTCTTTTTCTCCCCTAGTTTTTTACAGCAAGGCTTCATTTCTCTGCCAGAACTTTAGCAGACTCCTCAGCCTGTGTGATCGTTAATGTAGTCCTTTGCTTGACTCTTCATGCCCTGAGAACAAGAGTGTAGTTTCTTTCTGTTACCTGGATGGCAGCCTGCTTTCTCCTGGGAGCCTCTTTCCATCTGTGTTTAGTCATTCTTTTTTTGTGTGTGTCCTGATGCCATCGGCTGAATCTGGAGGATGGTGAGTATGTATTGGCTTCTGATGAAGTAGGGGATGGCTTCTGAGTGAAGGTAGTGATTTTTTTAAATGTACTAAATGGTGGTGGGAGATGCGGGGTGGTCTCTGGGGAAGATAAGCATCATGTGTGACATGGTGCACTGAGTTATGAGGTCATGTACAACAGGTGCCTATGTGTGCAATCCTTATAATTTTAATATGTATTCTGCAGAAGAGGTCTAACACTTTTTTTTAATGAACATCTGGTGTACCAGCATCATTTTTTGAAAAGTCCATTCTCTTTTCAGTATGTTTGGGACTTTTGTCAAAAATAAGTCACTATGGTTGTATGGTATATCTCTCAACCCTTATCCTGTTATAAAATTGTCTCATGTCAATACTACTCTACTTTGATGACTGCTGCTTAGTTATGTAAGTCTGATGTTGGAATTATGAGTCCTTAACATATTTTTTCCCAAATTCTCTTGGGTAGAAGACTTTGATTTTCCAAATGAATTTTATTATGATGTGGTCAGTTGTCTAAAAGAAGCCAGATGGAAATCTGATGCAAATCATGATGAAACTAAAGCTAATTAGAGGACTATCTATGGATGCAAGTTTAAGGGAAGAAAAGGAATGAGAATCATTAAAAGAAAGTGGGAGGTCAGGAAGAGAACGTGGAAAGAACATCCATATTTGACTCTGAATTTCAGGTGATGAGGGACACCCAAATAAGATGTCCAGTAGGTAGCTGGAAGCCTGTAATAGGGGTCTAGAAGAGAGCTAGGAACTGGGAAGGCAGGCAGCATTAGGGCATTGCAAGTCAATGAGATCTGTGACAGAGCAAAAAGGGATGCTGTGGGGCCTGAGTGCCTGCAATGTCCATAATGAGAAGGAAGGGAAAGAAATCAGTAATGAGGGGCCAGAAACGTGAGGGGCACGTCAGGCTGGCCTGAGACCAGGGAAGCCACGGGGAGAGAAAGTGGGCAGAAGTGTAGCTTCCTTCAGAGAGTTTGAAGTGAGGGAGGGCTGGGAGGAATGGCCATTTCTGTTTGACCAGGGACCCTCTGCACCCTGAGAATAACACCTGCATGGAAAATTCACAGCACACTCAGAGTAACGCCTGTATGGAAGAGGGATGAGAGACAGTGTGTGGAGCTGCCTGGGTTCTCTTGAACCCACTCACTGGGACACAGACCCTATTGGAGCCGAGGCAGGGCTTGTTCTCACAGCTCTCTTTCCTCCTTCAGGTCTGTGTGCTTCGCAGGTGCCTGCCCTTTCCCAGGCTGGGAAGTCAGGAGACCAGGCAGCAGCTGTGCTTCAGATGGTCAGGCCCCAGGTGAGCTGGACTCTGTCTTCAATGAGTTCCCAAGTCTGTGGCCTGGGCATAACTAGCGCTCATCTTCAGGGCTCTGGCCAATTCTGAGACTACTGCTGCGGTTTCCCTGCCTAATGACTTCCTCTGGAATTAGGTCCTGCCTGCTGAGTTCATGGACTCTGTCTGGGCCTGGACTTGTCCTTTTAGATATGTCATCCCAGCTTCTGTCCACCTATCAACCCTTTACCCACCAGGCCCCCACCCTGGGCTCTTGATACCTTGATGTGTCTGTCTTCAGGCTGGGAATATAATATCCCTGAGCGATAGAAGCTTGTCGTTCCAGGTGTCTGCAGCGTACGAGTTCCTGTCTGTGGACTATACTGAGAGGAAGTGGAAAGGTCCGGCAGTCGGTCAGAGAGCCATGTACCGGAGCATCATGCCGGGAAATTATTGCAGCGTGGCCTCATTGGGTAATGATTTCTGTTCCCCAGTAGTGTAGTCTGCATTCCTTTCTTTACATTTTCTTTGCTACATTCTTTTTTGTTTGTTTGCTTGTTAAATTTTTATTGTGAAAAGTTGCCAACATGAGACAGAGTGGAGAGGATAGTGTAATGAACCTCTCTGTGCCCATCGCTTAGCCTTAAGTTATCAGCATTGTCTTTACTTCATTATTAATTGGCCTAAGGTGGTTTATTTAGAAGTTGTAGTTGTAAGGAATATGGAGCCGCTCACATTATTGTAAGTACTGAGCTGTGTTACTTCCAGTAAGGCTGAAGGAATGGAAACCCTGATCAAACAAAACCCACCAGCTGGAGCATCCTTTGGGAAACAGGGCCCTCAGCAGCAACAGCAAATAATTTTTATGCCAGAGAATGTCAGGCAGTTGCTCCCTGCGAGACGGGGGAAACATCTACAAGACGGGGGACGTGTGCATCTCCATCCTCCACCCCCCAGTCGATGACCCCCAGAGCAGGGAGCTGCCCTCAGAGTGGTGGAACCCCACCCAGAACGTCACGACCATCCTCCTGAGCATCATCTCGCTCCTCAACGAACCGAACACCTTCTCCCTGGCCAACGTGGATGCCTTTGTGATGTACAGGAAATGGAAAGAGAGCAAAGGCAAGGACCGGGAGTACACAGACATCATCAGGAACCAGGTCCTGGGGACCAAGGTGGACGCGGAGTGGAACGGCGTGAAGGTGCCCACCCTGCTGGCCGAGTACTGTGTGAAGACCAAGGCCCCTGCGCCCAACGAGGGCTCAGACCTCTTCGACGACGACTACTACGAGGACGGCAAGGCCGTGGCCGAGGCCGAGAGCTGCTTCGGGATGACGAGGACGACCCCGGCAAGGAGGAGTCCTGACACTGCGACCCCGAGAATAAACTTACAGATTTTACCTCAGCAGGCCTGGACTGTGTGGCACCGAGACTGCCGTGCGGGAGGGACGCTGCCCGGCCCTTGGGGGGGGGGGTCTCCTTTCGGGTGTCGCCCTCCCTTCCCGCCTGTGTCCTGGGTCCTCTGCTTCCCAGGGGCTGCCTGCCTTGCCCCGTCCCTCGGAGCCCACCAGCTCCAGCTTTTTTTTTTCTCTCTCTCTTTTTTTAAGATTTTATTTATTTATTTGACACACACAGAGAGAGAACACAAGTGGGAGAGCAGCAGGCAGAAGGAAAGGGAGAAGCAGGCTCCTCGCTGGGCAGGGAGCCCAAAGAGGGGCTATATCCCAGGACCCTGGGATCATGACCTGCCAAAGGTTAAGTCAGTGAGCCACCCAGGCACCCCAGAAATACTCTTTATTATGGAGAACGTGTGCTGAATTGGAATTTCATAATTTCATAATTTTTTTTCAAAATAGGTATTTATTATTAAAAAATTATACAAACTGACTTTTTATTACTCAAATCATGAAAAATTTTAAACAATTTGTCTCAAGCCTCCAAAAAAGTAAGCTCTGTCTTTACATTCTTCAGTAGCAGTCCATTTTGATGGTATAGAAAATAACAAACATTTCATGTAACTTTGTTAGAATATACAAAGATTTGGCAGAGGCCAGAATCCCTACAAGTATTAAAAATTTTTTTTTCAAGTTTAAGTATTACTAAAGTCCTATAAACAGGATTACAGAACAGTAAACACCTGTATGTGATTTTCCAAAGCAATAATGATTTAGTCTTGTGTGTCTGCACTTTGTTTCAGCCTTTCCAAAACACTTTTAAATGCAAAAGCTGAAAATTTTTCAGTTACCTGAAACTTCAAAAATTTGTACTTTGAAAAAAAACCTTTTAAAAGCAGCATCATTTATGAAAATTATGAAATTATTATTATTTTTTTCAAGATAGCAGTTCCCAATTTTTCAAATATGAAACATTTTTTAACCAATCCATTTTTTAATTTTTAAATCCTTGACATTACAGAACTAAACTGAAATTTATTAACATTCCACTCTTAACATTTCTTATCGACAAACAGAAGTAAAATCCATGAGCCAAAAACCCAAAACAAAACTAAAAACAGGGAAACGCTTATAAAACTAAATATGGATGCCAGCATTAACAGCTGAACACAGAAATGTGATTTTTTTTTAATTCTTAGCAGGTGATACACTCGTGTAGAAACTGAAACACTTACAAATTATTTAAAACCTGGAATCACTGACCAGAAATTACACTCTTTTGTCCTCCCACTGCTACTCATTTTCTTCACTCTGAATCTTTTGTCCCCTCATAGCTGCTGCATTATTAGACTTTCCGCTGCCACAGTTTCTGCATGCAATGGCTCCTGATGGCTGGGCTTCTCTCCATGCCTCATTTCAGCTTAGATCTCCTACTTGTTTTAGTTTTCTTTCTTTTGCCCTATTTCCAGCTCAGAATTTACTTAGAGAGGGACTCTAAGGGTGGTTCAGCCACTAAGTGTCATCTCTGTTTGGGCAGAACTTTGCTCCTGGCCGCAGCAGAGGCTGAGGTGTAACATATTAGAGAAGCTACACTTGGGCCTCGTGCCCTGGTCTAGTCAGTCGTGATATTGACTGACTGGTATTGAGACCAGTTACTTGGCACAAAGCAAGGACAGCTTCCTGGAAGGGAGTGTTTTCAGGACAGGTTCTCTGGTTGGCAGGTCTAGGACAGTAGCCAACATGGCAGAGGGTGGTGGGCTCAGGAGTCAGAGAGGCAGTGATAACCTGTGACTTTCTGTGTGCTGAAATGCCACGATGGCTTGCCCTGGTTAAGATACGATTAAAAGGAACCAACAGTTTTGTGTTTAGACGTGACTGATCGCTTGCTTCTTCCACCATTTCCAAATTCTAAAGGAAATATTTAGCTGTTCAGTTTTCTATGATTCCACATTATCAAGATACCAAAGACATGTTTGGATTCATATTTCAAATTATCGATCCCTTTCTTAATTTTTATAGGAATGCAGTCCTTGCAGTATGACTTCTACCAGTCCATTGCTCCAGAGACTAGAGGATCCCCCTTTTAGAGCTCTGCTGTCCCTTCCAGTACTTTCCCCCAGCATTTCTGAGCCTGTGGCTTCTCTGAATCTTGTCACCTGAATCTTCTCACATGTGAGAATCACTTCTTTGGATATGTTTTTTTTCCCTAAATGTGTTTGCCCATACTGTTTGTCATCTTTGATTTGAGGTATTTGCCACTCCTCTCTCCTCAATATTTTTACTGGGAACCATGGAAACTTACAGCATCTTGTTGGAAAGGACGTTATATAGTTCATCATTTTACTAAGTGACTCCTGTGAGGTCACACCACCTTTACAGTCTGCTCTCTTGCCTTCTGGTTGTCTTTTTAACTGGATAATTAACTAGAACAATTAATGGGCTGTGTCCTGACAGCCCTTCTTCCACCCTCCCCTACTGACCGTCTTTCCCCTCTTCATCTTTCTGTCCATGAAGAGAAGCTTGAGCTATTTCCCATTTTTCTCCTGTTCAAAATGTGTCATCTCCTGATGTGAAGGTTTTTTTTCAGGTACTTAGACTCCTGATGACTCTGTTTCCTCAGTAGGACAAGAAATGTGTAAAAGTTGTTTTCTTCTTCTCTTTTGGCCGCAGGTGACACTAGGATGCGGTGTTCAGAGTTGCCTGTGAAGCTGGCAGTTTCTAAGGGACCAGAGTCATCTGATGGGACATCAAGAGGGCTCTCTGCAGTAGTTTCTGGGGAACCAGAGGCAGGAGCTGCCTGTGAAGATACTTCAGAGAAGCTGGAAGGGCAACCCTCAGATGAAGAAGGGAGCAGACTGGAAAATGCTTTCTTCAAAATAACACATGAGGACAAAGATAAATTCACAAAAGGTGGATGTGATGAATATAAAGAACTTGGGAAGCATCCACACCTGTCCCCTAGTGCTGCAGCACATCAAAGAGTACTGAAGGGACAGAAATTATATCAATGTGATGAATGTGGTAAAGCTTTCAATTGGAGTTCACACCTCATTGGGCATCAGAGAATCCACACAGGAGAGAAACCCTATGCATGTAATGAATGTGGTAAGACCTTCAGGCAGACCTCTCAGCTCATCGTTCATCTCAGAACCCACACGGGGGAAAAGCCCTATGAGTGCAGAGTGTGTGGAAAGACTTACCGACATAGCTCCCATCTTATTCAACACCAGAGACTTCATAATGGTGAGAAACCATATAAATGTAATGAATGTGGAAAAGCTTTCAATGAGAGTTCCAAACTTTTTGACCATCAGAGAACCCATACTGGGGAGAAACCTTATGAATGCAGTGAATGTGGGGCTGCCTTCAGTCGGAGTAAAAATCTTGTCCGTCATCAGGTACTTCACACTGGTAAAAAACCTTACAGGTGTAGTGAGTGTGGGAAAGCTTTCTGTTCTAATAGAAATCTTATTGACCATCAGAGGATCCACACAGGGGAGAAACCTTATGAGTGTAATGAATGTGGCAAGGCCTTCAGTCGGAGTAAATGTCTTATTCGACATCAGAGCCTCCACACTGGAGAAAAACCATACAAATGTAGTGAGTGTGGGAAAGCCTTCAGTCAGATCTCTCAACTTGCTGATCATGAGCGAATTCATACTGGAGAAAAACCTTTTGAATGTAATGAGTGTGGTAAGGCATTCAGTTTGAGTAAATGTCTTATTCGACATCAGAGACTTCACACAGGTGAAAAGCCATATAAATGCAAGGAGTGTGGAAAATCCTTCAACCAAAACTCATACCTCATTATACACCAAAGAATTCACACTGGTGAGAAGCCGTATGAATGTAATGCATGTGGGAAGGTCTTCAGTCATAATTCTAGCCTTATGGTTCATCAAAGAACCCATACTGGGGAGAAACCGTATAAATGCAACAATTGTGTGAAGGCCTTTAGTGACAGCTCTCAGCTCACTGTGCACCAAAGGGTTCACACTGGAGAGAAGCCCTATGAATGTATTGAGTGTGGGAAAGCCTTCAGTCAGCGTTCCACTTTTAATCACCATCAGCGAACTCATGATGGCGAGAGGCACTCAGCTCTGGCCCACACAGTTTGTTAAGACATGATTTTCTAAGATAGAGCAAGAAACTTGAGTTAAACTTTCATTGTAAGAAAGATACTCTGATCTCCTCTTGGAATCATTAATCAAGGAGGTTTATTCCTTGTATTCTTTCTGCTGGGTTATGAAGGTAGGAGAGTCATAGTACCATTTTTCCCTACTATGAATGAAGTAAGGACTACACATTTCATGTGCTTATAGGTCATTCCCTCCCTACATTCTTTTCTCCCTCCTACTCTCCCTCTCTCCTCTCTTTTTTGTTTAAAATGTGTCTCTGGTTTTAGTTATGAATCCCATAATCAAATTTTATGCTTCTCAAGGACAGTGGTTATATGCTTCTTTTTTTTTTTTCCAGGTAATTCTTTTCACAGTTGCATAAAGTCATTCTCCAATGCTCTGGTTCCTATCTTGTGAATGGCCTTTTAAAAAGTTTCATTATAATCTAGATCCTCATCACTTGTATTTCCTGTCTAGAGAACCTTTTCTTCTTGTTTGCTAATTTTTGTCCCTCAGACTGTTTAAGATCCAGCTCATCTCAGAAAGACTTTTTTCTTAAAATGCTTTTTTCCTTCCTCTTAAACTTCCATTGACTTGACCTCAATGCTTAAAATTAGTCTGTTACAATTAGTAGTTGTTATTAAATTGCACTGAGAACAGTTGTCAAGGCATATGTGTATACTTCATCCCAACTTAATGCAAGTTCTTTGAGTTTTGGTATGGTATCTATGTCTTTTAGCATATAGTTAATAATTTTCATAGACTAGTTTAAGTTTTTCAAACTCACTCTCCAACCATTCTTAATCTGGGCATGTACTCCCTTCTGCCACTAGACCTAAAACTTGTAAAGATGGACACCATAGGATACCACATACAAAGGCCTTGTTCATGTCTTCTACATATGCCTCTGGGAATGTTAATTCTGGTACCTCAGCCTCAACTAATATTTGTGCTTGAGCATGCATCTGTGTGTGAACCTGTATATCCAGGATTTAGAGTCAGCAGTTGTTCCACTGATAAGTGCTTTTAACCTGCTTTCTGTGGTTTGATTCATAGAGACTCTGATTTCCATATCAAGTAGTTCAATCTACCTGTAACTGCCATCTAATACCAAGTTGAGAGGAGTACAGTTTATTATTATAATTATCTTCCAGGCCATCTTTCATTCCCCATAAAGTTAAGAAACAGGAAGTCTTTTCAGAATCCTATAGTCATGTATGAGACATTAGCTTAAACACCTCTCTTCCAATCCTTGCAGGAGTGCCCCATTGTTGGGAGCCTTTGCCTCTGGTGTCTGCCCCTTTTCTCTTAGCAGGACAGTAGGATTGACAGTGTAGCAGGGGAGAAGGTTAGAAGCGCAATGTCAGATATGTAAACTTCAGGGGAGAGATGATTGTGAGCTCCAATTTATGTCTGAAATAGTGGAGAAGAAAGAGAAGAGAATTGAGGCTCAAGAAAATAAGAATTGGATGTGATTTGGGGGGAGGCACCTCAGAAAAGATTAGGAAGAATGTGTATTGGGGAGGTCTATAAAAACTGAAACAAGGACACAACTAGAAATTTGCCATTTGTAAATAAATGTTTTAAATTTCTGTTTTCAGATATATTTATAAGATCTACATATAGGACTTACCTAAAAATGTTTTATCTTGGGAGCACCTGTATTCTGAGAAGGAGCCCAACCCCATATTAGCACATGGACCCATGCCTCCACTGTGATTTGCACCTTACTGGTCAGAACCCCTTGCCTATTGGATGCTATAATTTTACCTTCTGTTTGTTCTTTGCTCATTGTCCTACCATTCTGTGTCTGGAGGGGGAAAGCCAGCTCTATTCATAAGTATGTTACCCTTTACCACCAGTGTGGTGTAGGTTTTCATTAAGAATGAATGTCCTAAAAAAAAAAAAAAAAAGTGAATGTCCTTACTTCCTGGAAAAGTATTCAGGATCATGTATGGAGGAAAATGGTCTATATATGAAAGCCACAGCTCAATTTCTATTGGTTATTGCTAGTATTAAAAAAATTACTGAGTTCTAAAAATTTTATCTGGATCCAATTGCCTTGCTAAATTATTTTTACTTTTAATAGTTTTTTTTTTTAGTTTCATTTCCTAACTTGTCCTAGTATACAACAAATAATAGTACTTTCTTCATTTCCATTCTGTATGTCATTTAAGTTGTGTGATAACAAAACTTTTTTATTTTATTTTTTTAAGATTTTATTTATTTATTCATGAGAGACACAGAGAGAGAGAAAGAGAGAGAGGGGCAGAGACATAGGCAGAGGGAGAATCAGGCTCCACGCAGGGAGCCAGACGTGGGACTCGATCCCGGGTCTCCAGGATCAGGCCCTGGGCTGAAGGCGGCACTAAACCGCTGAGCCACCCAACAAACAAAACTGTTTTAAAGAAACATTTTGAATAGTGAACAGCAGATATTCCATGTCTTCTTCCTAACTTTCAAGGGAAATGTTTTGGCATTTTGCAATTGCATATAGTGTTCACTCTCATTGTTGGTTGCTGTTAAATGCTCTTGTGTTTAGGAAATAGTCTTGTATTATTGTTTTATAAAGAAATATAGTAGTTAAGAGCCCAGATTTTTTTGCTTGTACCCTAGCTCAGTTCCTGGCTCCACCACTTTCTTAGGTGTGTGGCCCTGGGCAAGTCACTTAGCTTCCCTGTGTCTCAGTTCTTCCATCTGTAAAGTGGAGCTACCTCATAAGTTTGTGACGATAAAAGTAGTTCATAACTATAAGGCACTTAAAATAGTGCTTGTTAGTACCCACTAAAATTACTACACTTAGAGTTTTTATTAGGTTGGTGGTTAAGTTCTATCAAGGTCAGTTGTTTGTTGGTTTGTTTTTTTTTTTTCATTCTAAAAATCAAATTTATTTAGTCATAAAGTATGTGTAACAAACTGCATTTATTTAAAGTATACAATTGAATGAGTTTTGATAGGTGACTCCATGTTGAAAACCATCTCCACAATCAAAATACAGAACATTTGCATCATTCCCAGAAGAGCCCCTTTGATAGTGCATTCCTGCCCTGGCCCCAGCCCCAGGTAACTACTGATCTGCTTTTTTGTCACTGTAGATTTGTTTTCATTTTCTAGAATTTTATAAAAATGGGTATATCTCTATTAATGAAAACTGGGGAATGTGCTCTGGCATGTGCTGGGCTTCTCCACCTGGGCTCCTTTGTGAAGGCTTGAGGGAGCAGGTATGACTGGGGCCACCAGGACATTGTAGGCTGTTGGAATTCTTGAGAGGAGTTTAGGTCTGGATGGTACTGGCACCATAAGAAGGGTCTGGATGGTAATGGCACCATAAGATAGGAAGAACTAGGAAATCAAAGTAAATCTGGGAAGACAGGAGGATATCTAGTAATGATAACTGACTCATATCTGTCTACATAGTTTCTGAAACAGGCAAAGATGTAATTAGGCAATCAATCATATGATAATATAATAATCAGGGAGCTTGGGAAGGTGGTGGAGTAGGAGGACCCTGGACTGCCATGTTTTCAACTAGATATTATCCACATCCAAGTCAATAAACGTAGAGTGATCTGAAGGGTGGTGGAACAAACTCCATAACTAAACATAGAGAATAAGTTGCATCTGAAAGGTTAGGATGGTCAGAAAGGTGGAGGAAGGCTGCCTGGCAGGAGTGACGGAGCTGCACGCACAAAGAGGGCAGAGAAGTGGGCACTTGTACCTGGAAGCTCACAAGAAGACTGATCCCCATAGCACTTGGCTTTAAAAACCAGGGGAGCTGAATTGTGTGTTTGTAAAACCAGCGGGACTTGTAATGAGCTTTTGAAGCAAGCTGATTAAACATTGGACAAGCTGGGAGGCCAAGTGATAGCTGAGTGCTATCCTTAGAAAGACAGCAGCCTGTGCAGAGAGGAATGTAAAAGCAGTTTACACAACCCCAGGGGCAAACAGGAGACATCAGTTCATATTGACTTCGGAGTGTTTGGGAGACTGAAAACAAAGGACCTAGCAGGGGCCATTTTCCTCCACTACCCCCAGTATAAGCATGGGGACACCTAGGGGAGGTAGGATGGCATAGACACTTAGACTACCTAACCTAGCAGTATGCTATGCCCAAGTTCTCCTGAGGATTTGCCCCCTCCAAGCCTGCTAGTCTTGGTCACAGAATCAGGGCAAATTTTGTTAAACTGTATGGGTACCCAGCCACCAGGTGCACGGCTGCCACCTTGTGCCATGCATATCTGCCATGCCTGACCAGCTGTCTGCCTCCAGCCATCCTCATGTGTCTCACCTAGCGACACACCCCCAGCCACAATTGCATGCTGTGCCGGCATGACTGGCTGTGCACTCCCTGGCCTAGTGCCACTAGGCACCATCGTATACCACACCTACTTGCATCTCTGCAATTATGTTCCCTAGTTGCAATTATGGCTGCAATTATGCAATTATGTTGCATATTATGTTCCCTAGTTGCAGTCACACACCTTGTGCAGTCACACACCTTACAAAGCCACCAGGAACACAGCTTCTGCCTAGCCCAACTACTGCATCAAGGCCAACCACCACACCACACCCAGCTGTACATTCCTATCCACAGCAGTGCCTCAGGGGATCCTGCAAAGGACTAGTAGCTCATTGCAAGTTTTGCTAACATTATCATCCTTCTCCCAAGTTCCCTGGTGGGAGCAGAGCTGGCCTGCTTGGGTTCCACTAACCCTGCAGAGCAAGCACAGCCCACAACAGGGTCAGTTCAGATGAATGAAAAGGAAAAGTGACTTAGACACAACAGCAGGGTGTAAGCAATGCACAAGGATACTCTCCTGAGGTGCCAGGTTCTGGTAAACGGGACACTGCCTTCCAGGATACTCCAGGAACTCTTTTTCATAAAGTCACTACTTTGAAGAACAGAAGACACAGTTGACCTTCTTAACACAGAAAAAGAGATACAGAGAGGCAGGCAAAATGAGAGAAAAATTTGTCCCAAATGAAAGGACAAGGTCACAACCAGAAATCTAGGCAAAAGTAACATGCCTAATAATAAAGAATTTAAAGCAATAATCATAAGTAAATTCCCTGGACTTGAGAAAAGAGTTTAAGACATGAGTGAGGCTATTAATACAGGAATAACAACATAGTCGAGATGAAGAACACAATAAGTCAAATGAGAAACACTTGATGGAATGAACAGCAGGATGGAGAAGAAGAGGAACAAATTAGTGACCTGGAAGACAGAGTAATGGAAAATTAGCTGAACAAGAGAGAGAGAAAAGAATTATGCAAAACATGAATAGACTCAGGGAACTCAGTGATTCCATCAAAATAACATTTGTACTATAGGAGTCCTAAGGAAGAAAGAAAAGGGGGCAGAAAATTGACTTGAAGAAATAATAGCTAAAAAATACCCTAATCTGGGAAGGAAACATATCCAGATCCAGGAGGCATGGAGAACCCCCAACAGAATCAACAAAAGCAGACCAACACCAAGACATATTGTAATTAACTTTGCAAAAAATAGTGATAAAAAATGTTAAAAGCAGCAAGACAAAATAAATCAGTAACTGACAAGGGAAAGCCCATAAGGCTAGCAAGAGATTTTTCAACAGGAATTCTGCAAGCCAAAAGGGAATACCATGATATATTCAAAGCGCTGCATGAGAAAAAACCTGCAGCCAAGATACTCTATCCAGCAAGGTCATTCGGAACAGAAGGAAAGATAAAGAGTTTCCCAGACAAACAAAAACTAAAGGAGTTCCTGACCACTAAACCAGCTCTACAAGAATTCGTAAAAGGGACTTTAAGTGGAAAGGAGAGACCAGGGAGAGGGTTAAGATGGTGGAGAAGTAGGGCAACCCTAACTTGCCTCCTCCCTTGAACACAGCTAGAAAAATATCAAATCATTTTGGACACCCAGGAAATTGAAATGTAGACTGAGGGAACAAAGCTGCATGTCGATAAGCAGAAAAAAAGGGGCCACCTTGTGGGAAGTAGGAACTGCAGAGAGTTGGTTTGGAGTAGAAAAGAGCCACAGACATTGCGGAGGGGAGGGAGGCCTGACTGCAGAGAGAGGAGAAAGAGTGAAAACATGGGCAGGAGATTACACAAGAAAAAATTCTTCCCAAAACCATTGACTGGGAAAAAGAGGATTTAAATACAAGTTTAAAAATAAAATAAGAAATAGGGGTGCCTGGGTGGCCCAGTTGGTTGTCTGCCTTTGGATCAGGTCATGATCCCAGGGTCCTGCGCCTGCTTTGGACTTCCAGCTCAGCAGGAAATCTGTTTCTCCCTCTCCCTCTGCCTGGCACTCCTGCTTGTGTGCACGGTTTCTCTGTGTGTCAAATAAATAAACTTTTAAAAAATAAAATAATAAAGTAATTAACTGATGTTTTTATAAACAGAGCACAGTCTGAAATTCCAGAAGTCAACGTCATCACCAGAGTCATGCCTTGTGAGTTGAGCAGGGCTCTGGTGGGGAAGAAGAGTGGAGACCTGGAGAGGGCAGCATGGTCTAAGGATCCCCTGAGTTGTCTGAGGAGAAATGGTTCCCCTGCTTGGAATGCATGTGGTAGAGGTGATATCGCTTCTCTGGGGTAAAAGACCCAAGAGATGCCATGAGCTACCCATTCAGTAGCATAGGAACAAAGATTCAGGCTGAGGGCAGCAAACCTTGGCATCAGCTTTGTGCTTTGATTTACCATAAACTGAAGCACTGCACAGTTGTGCGACCATCCTCTTGGACAAGCCAGCACCAGACACAGTGCAGCAAAACCCACCCCTAAAGGATCAGCATGGGTCTGTGCTATCCAGATCTCTGACGTTTGGAGTTTTAAAACCCAGTCACACCTGAGATAAAACACAGGAGTGCTGTGCCACCTGGCAGGCAGACAACTCAGACACAGGGTGAAGGCAGGATCTGACAGAAGCTAGGGACATAGGAAGGGTGATTGCTCCTCTCTAAGGGCTTATTGAGGAATGATGGACACAAGCTCCTCTCATGGATAAGAGGGGTGAAGCCATTTTCACCCACCAGCACAGACCAACCTCAGCACCACGAAGTGGAGGCCAGAGATGCTTACACCAAGCCCTGCCCCCTTGCTGGTGCATCTCCATTAGAATAAGTCCACCTGAGACTCAACAGCAGGCCCCTCCCCCAGAAGACCAACACAAAACTTGAACAACCAAATCTGATCGTGGTATGCTGCAAAGCTTTAGCTATAGGGAAAACAGGATCTAGCCTCTCTTTTTTTTTAATATAGAAAAAGCAATTTCTTTGTTATTTTATTATGTTTTTAATTTTTTAAACTTTAAAATCTTATTTAAACATTTTTTGGATCAAGCTTCTCTTAGTAAACAGACTAAAACACACCTAGGATCAAGCTTCTCTTAGTAAACAGACTAAAACACACCTAGGATCTTAAATTTTTTTTTAAATTTTCTTTGACCTAGAAAATAAGACCGGAATCCACCCAAAAAGAAAAAACAAGTACTGACAGCCAGATATTTAATTGATACAGATATAAATAAGATGTCTGAACTAAAACTAGTAACAGCAATTATTAGAATACTGGCTGGACTTGAAAACACCATAGAAGACACTAGAGAATCCCTTACTGCAAAGATAAAGACTAATAACTATTCAAGCCAAAATTAAAAGTGCTACAACTGAGATACACACCCAAATGGATGCCATGACAATGACAATGGTTGAAGCACAGTAATGAATCAGTGATATAGAACATAAAATTATGGAAAAAATGAAGGTGAAAAGAAGAGGGAAAGAAAGGCATTGAATCATGAATGTAGACTTAGGGAACTTCAACTCCTTAAAGTGTAATAACATTCGAATCATAGGAGTCCCACAAGATGAAAAGAGAGAAAAAGGAACAGAAGTTTTATTTGACCAAATTACAGCTGAAAACATCCCAAACTTAAGGAAGGAAACACATGTGAAAATCCAAGAAGCACAGAAAACACCCATTCAACAAAAGCCAGACATCACCAAGACATACTAAAGTCAAATTCACAAATTACACAGGCAAGGAAAGAATCCTGAAAGTCACAAGGGAAAAAGTCCTTAACCTACAAGGGAAGACAGATCAGGTGTACAGCAGATCTATTCACAGAAACAGGGAAGGCCAAAAAGAAGTCACAATATATTCAATGTGCTGAAGGAGGGAAATATGCAGCCAGGAATACTTTTATCCAGCAAGATAATTCAGAATAGAAGGAGAGATAGTTTCCAAGATGCCTTGGTGGCTTAGTTGGTTGAGCATACAGCTCTTGATTTTGGCTGATGTCTGACCTGTGATAAAGCCCCTCATCAGGCTCCTCAAAAGTCTGCTGGAGATTGTCTCTCTCTCTCTCTCTCCCTTTACCCCTCTACTCCTTTCTAAAGTAAATAAATCTCTTAAAAAAAAAAAAGTTTCCCATACAAACAAAATCTAAAGTAGTTCATAGCTGCTAAACGAGTCTCATAAATATTAAAGGAGACACTTTGAGTGGGGGGTGGAGGGGAAGCAACAAAGACTAGAAGGGAACAGAGAACATCACCAGAAACATCAATTCTATAGGTAACACAACATCACTAAATTCATATCAATAATCACTCTTAATGTAAGGAACTAAATACCCCAAACAAAAGACAGGGCATTAGAATGGATAAAAGACCCATCTATATGCTGCCTATAAGAGACTCATTTTAGACCTAAAGACACCTGCAGAGTGATGTGAGTACACAGATGACCAGGTGACAGCTCTAACTGTGGGGGCTCTATAAAGGAGAAGAACAGGGCAAACCTGCCTTCCCCAAGGAGGATCAGTGTGGACACACACTACAGGAGTCTACGGAGTATGGCACACTCAAAAGACCAGCTTATCCCTAAGGGTTTACTGAAGACGGGGGACCAAAATCTTTCAGCTCCAGGGCTGGAGATTGGTGGGGTGGTGGTGACCATTTTTATTTTCATCTTCTGGAGAGGCATAGAGTCTTCAGGGAACAAAAGCCACACAGAGCAACCAGAAACAGCTTACACTGAGCCCAGCCCCCTGGCAAGAAGTAGTGTGACTTCACCCTGGCAAAGACACCTGAGAATCAGCACAGCAGGCTCCTCCATCAGAAGACAAACTGGAAGAGCAGGGAACACCAAGATTATGGAGCACACAGGATTGCAAAACTCCAGCACTAGAGGAGAATTGTATATAGAACTTTAGTTGATTTCTCATGATTTTTTCAAATTTCAGTTTATAATTTTCCCTTTCCTTTTTTCCCCTTTTGAACTAGCTTCTTATTTTATCAATTCTTTATTTTTAAGTCTTTGTTTAACTTTCATTTTTATATGTACTTTTTAAATTTTTTAAAGTTTTTAAAAAAGATTTTATTATTCATGAGAGACACACAGAGGCAGAGATGTAGGTAGAGGGAGAAGCAGGCTCCATGCAGGGAGCCTGATGTGGGATTCGATCCCGGGATGGTGGGATCACGCCCTGAGCCAAAGGCAGATGCTCAACTGCTGAGCCATCCAGGTGTCCCAACACGAACTTTTTAAAAGATACATTCTTCATTTTTGGCTTCCTTTAACTGAAATCAATTTTATTTTTGTATATATATACACACATATGCATATATACATCTATATATTTTGTATATATATGTATAGATATACAAAAAAGCAAAACATATATATATAAATAAGTTATATATATAAGTTCATACATAAGTTTATAACATATAAAACTTCTTTTACAATTTTTAGATTCAGTGTCTTCTAACACAGAGACCAAAATACACTCCAGAACAAATAAATCACCTTGTTTTGTTCACCCTGTGAAATTATATCCTTTCTTCCACAATCCCCTCCCTCCGTTTTTTCTTTTTTTGCTTTCTGACCTCTTTGGCTTTGTCTAGTGTGTATTTCCCTTGGATCATGGTTGATATTTTTGATTTGTTCACTCATTCATCCATTCTTCTTGGGCAAAATGACTAGGAGGAAATCACAACAAAAGAAAGAACCAGAGATACTACTCTCTACCACAGATCTAATTGATATGGATATAAGTAAGATGGCAGAGCTGGAATTCAGGATTACAATGATGAAGTTACTAGCTGGGCTTGAAAAAAGCATAAAAGACACTAGAGACGTTTTTTAGTGCAGAAGTAAGATCTAATCAGGCCAAAATTAAAAATACTCTGAGATACAGTCTAAACTGGGTGCTCCAACAGCCAGGGTAAATGAGGCAGAAGAGAGAAAGTAACATTGAAGAAGAGTTGATAGAAATTAAGTAAGGTGAAGAAAAGAGAGAAAAACAAGACCCATGGAGAGAGGCTTTGAGAAATCTTTTTATGATGTCATAAAAAGAACTAACACCAGAATTATTGAGGTGTGTGAAGATGAGGGGGAGGCAGAAGGTATATTTGAGCAAATCATAGCTGATAAATTCCCTAATCTGAGGAAAGAAACAGGCATTCAAGTCAAAGAGGTAGGGAGGAATGTTCCAAAAATCAATAAAAATAGATCAGTGCTGCTACATATAGTAGTGAAGCTTGCAAATTTCGGAGAAAAGAAAACTTCTTAAAGCAGTTTGAGACAAGTTCTTAATCTACAGTGGTATGAGACCTAGACGACAACAGACTGATCCACAGACCTGGCAGGCCAGAGAGGGCTGGCATGATATATTCAGGGTACTAAATAAGAATAGCATGCAGCTGAGAATATTTTATCCAGCAAGGCTGTCATTCAGAATGGACAGAGAGATAAAGAAGTTCTAGGACAGACAGAAACTGAAAGAATATGTGACCACCGAGCCAGTCCTGCAAGAAATATTAAGGGGGATCTTGTAAGCGAAGAGAGAGCCCAAGAATAAGACAGACCAGAAATAGAGACAATGTACAGAAACAGGGGCTTTACAGGTAATACAATGGCACTAAATTCATGTCTTTCAATAGTTACTCTGAATGTAAATCAGCTAAATGCTCCAAACAAAAGACAAAGAATACCAGAGTGGGGGGGGGGGGACCAAGACTCATCCATATGCTGTCTACAAGAGACTCATTTTAGACTCCAGACTGAGAGTGAGGGGGTGGAGAACCACTTATCATGCAAATGGACCTCAAAAGAAAGCTGGGGTACAAATCTTTTTATCAGGCAAGTTACATTTAAATCACAGACTGTAATAAGACATGTAGGATGCCATATCATACATAAAAGGTCTATCCAACATGACTTAACAATTGTAAAAATTTCTGCTCCTAACTTGGGAGCAGCCAATTATATCAACCAATTGATAACCAAAGTAAAGAAACACACCGATAATACTTTAATAGTAGGAGACCTCCCCACCCCACTCACAGTAATGGACAGATCATCTAAAGTAGAAGATGAATAAGGATCAAGGGCTTTGAA